TACACACAAAGTCCTTTTGAGAAATGTTTAGAAGCTCATCTCCATACCTCATGATACAATTTGAAAGGGTCTTACAATCTCTAACACCAGATACTCTCAACATATGATGGTAATAGCTCTCATGTCCTTTTATTTTCAAAACTATGCATATTAATTTGGTATAATTGTTTGAAGTGTGTTGTGTCTAACTTTATTTTAAATCTATTCATAGAATTTGAATGGTATAGAATAGAAGAAAAGAATATTCAAAAGGCATGTTTGTGACCTTACTGGATTTTCTTCCCAGTAATATATTTGGCTATTCTTTTGAGATCCAATGGAGAAACTGATGGAACACTAGCAAAAGACTGATGAAAGAGCATTCTTATTCCACCACATATCTTTTTGAGGATTAAAAAAAAAACATAGATCTTCTCATACTTCAAAGGACTTCTTTTCTCTTTATCACTTCATGAAGCATGTTTTGAATTGAGCTATCAAAGGCAGAATAGAGAACTTCAAGAGAAACAAAATGAGTTTTTGACCCTATAGACTCACACAATCTAAAGGAACAAATTGCATGGATTTAGTCCTCCTTATATTAAGAACACTGTGATTTGAATACCACATTTGAATACCGCATGTTGTTCTCATGTGGGTTCACACCCTCATTTCCACTGCAAACACATTGTTTTTGAAGATGCATTTGTCAGAAGCAGCCAGCAAGTCCCTTTCTTTTTGTAGACATGTCATCCACTTTGGTAGTGCTTAAAATAAAGTACTCAGATAGAGGGTAAGTTGCAACACACAGCAAGCAATATAATACAAAATGTTATGAGTAAAGTGTGTTACTCAGATACTTCTAAAATACATTTCTCCCTTTATTTTGAAGGCCACGGTATAGGCAACTTGGCTAATGGAACCAGTCTCTTCCTTTGATCATCAATAGAGTTATCTTTTTGGGAAACTAAGTCCCAGCTCAGATAACCATTTTAGCTGAGGCTGACATGAAAGAGAGAGAGAGAGAGACTGTTTAATTATTAGCTCTCTGAAAAGCATGTTTTTTTCTTTCTTTAATAATTCTTCAGCTGAAACTACAAACAGGAGTACTTTTGGGGAGGTGGTTTCATTTGATCTTTATTTCTTTACTCTGGGCAATGTGCAGGATCTGGGCTTTATGTGTCAGCTTTGCAGAGAGATACAGGCTGACGGCCTGGGTGACAGATTCTATTCAAGTAAGAACCAAAAGTAAATATAATTTAGGTGCATTTACTTAATCTCCTAAGACTTAGGGAGAGCTTGGGAAGGTGTGTGGCATGTAGTAGGTGCTCAATGAATACTTAGAATAATCTAATATAATGAATGGATGAAGGGCAAGCCTGGAGAGTGTCCTAGGCTGGTTTCAGCAACTGATTTCCATTTTCCGTGTGTATCTATGGACATTTGAGAGGGTAGTAGGGACTACAGCAACTGACTAAAGGTGCTGTGCAACACAACAGCCACCAGCCATATGTGGCTATTAAGCACCTGAAATATGACTAATCTGAGATGTGTGGAAAGTGTAAAATACACACTGGATTTAGAAGATGTAGTATGAAAAAGGAATGCAAAAATATTAATAATATTTATATTGATTGCATGTTAAATCATGTTTTTGATATGCTGGGGTTCAGTGAAACATGTTACTATTTCACCTGTTTTCGCCTACTTTTTAAATGTGACTTCCTGCTTTTTAAAAAATGTGACTAGTAGAAAATTTAAGATTACCAGTGTGGCTTGGATTATATTTTTATTGGACAGCACTGGCGTAGACTTTATAGATAAACAGGCAATGTAACATCTTTGCTTTTAAAGAGAAAATTGTTTCTCTGTCCCTGTTTCCTGCCCCAGACAACCTTTACAAGCTGTCTAAAAATGCCTAAAAATTTACTCCCTTCCTGGGCAGCCCTGGGGCCTGCGGCTGGTGGGTGGGGTGGGAGTTAGCGTCCCAGGAGGCAGGCAGGTGATGCCGCTGGCTTTGGTGCGCGTTTTCTGCCACAAGAAGATGCCAGATGGAATGCGAACACTGAATCTCAGAGGGGCCTCCCTAACCCCGCCGCCGCAGTAAGGCGTGCTTGCCACCGCCTCCAGCCAAAGTTTCTGCAACCCCGGCAATCCCCCGCGTGTTTCTGCTCAGGAGCCCCACACAGCAGAGAAACTTTCCCGCTTCCCGGGCCTCGCAATCTCCCGGAGGATTTGGGACATAGCTTTAAGGGACTGCGGGGCCCAGACGGGATCAGAAACCTTTGGAGGACCAGACGCGCCCGCACAGCCCGCCCCTGCGCGCTAGCACCAGAATCCACAGCCCGCCTGCGGCGAGACCCTGCGGCTCTTCCTTTGGGCACCCCCGGAGAAGGCAGAGAAGGCGGCGGCCCAGAGAAATCCCCTTGACTTCGCAGGTCCTATTCCCCCTCCCCCAGCGCCCGGGGCCTCCTCCTGTCCTGGCCGCCCGCGGTGTTCCCTCAGCCGCGGAGCTTTGTTTCCCTGTGCCGCTGAAAGGGAAAGGAAAAGAAAACGCCTTCGGTCCTGGAGGTCCTGCCTTTTCCTGAAGCGAGTCTGTTTCCTCCCTCCGTCTCTCCTTTCTTAGATTCCTCCTGGAGCCCTGGCAGAGGAGGGGCGGCTGGGCCCCAAGTCCCTCTCCGGCAGTAGCACCGGCTTCGGGCTGGCTGGTCCCGCCCGGAGCGGGGCTGGAAAAGGGGGCGCCAGGAGCCGCCCCGCCCCTCATCGTTCCCGGCTTCTCCGCCTGAGAGCAGTGCTTGGGGAGATTGCCTTAGCTTTGGGGGAAAGCAGGACGCTGAGTCTAAGGCTTACGAAACAAGGGGAGGATAAGGACTGAGGAGGCGGTCTACACCGCCTCCCCACCCCGTTCCCTCCCCAGTCCCGAAAACACACCTGAGAGGTGTGTAAGTTCTGAGGGAAGGTTTGTAGTGCCTTGGCTCAAAGGTAACCGTCACTGGAAGACGTTTTTACTGCCCCTGCTCTCAAAGGGACATTCAATAATCACTTCTGCTTCTGCGGCAGAAGGTGGTCCCCTCCCCAGAATGAAGCTGAAATCCCGCCCCCAAGGCTGGGGGCAAATCTGCGCTCTGCGTGGGGCTGGAGTGTAGGAAGCGCGTAGGCACAGGCCACACTCCGGCTATACACTCGTTCAGCCCTCGACAGCCACTTGGCCTGTAGGGTGGGCAGACAAAACGTCTTGATTTCCACTCTCCCGATGCGGTAAGCTCACAATGGAAGCGCGGGTGGACGTGGACGTCTGTATGTGGACCACCCTTGGCGCCTCCTCACCAGTCTACTCTGTCTCTCTCCAGCCCTGAGGAGGATGGGCCAGAGTTTAGTGGCAGGGAAGGACTCTGGAAAGTCTATTGTCTTCCTCTCCACAGCCACCTGCTTTCAGGTCTTCAGTTCTTTTTCTTTCTTTTTAATAGAGATGGGGCCTCACTATATTGCCCAGGGTGGTTTCGAACTCCTAGGTGCAAGCAATCCTCCCGCCTTGGCCTCTCAGTGCTAGGACTACAGACGTGCTAGGGCTACACACGTGAGCCACCAAATCGGGTCTCTTCAGTTCTTACTACCATTATAATTTTTTTAAAATCACATTTTGGACTTCAGGTCAAAGCATTCTGATTTCATTTAGATACCTACTTGTCAAGATCTTATTTTAAAGTCTTGCCAATATCCCTTCCTCCTTCCTCTCAATCTCTTCATCCGTATGGAATAGAACGCTCTCACTTCCTGGTGCACTGTAGTTTGGGGCCTAATTGATTTTGGTAATTAATTTGTTCTACCTGCTAGATCAGATGAAATCCTACCCATGCTCCCCAGGATTAGCACTTGGCTTTCTAACACCTCCTCTAATTATCTAATAGCATGGGTTGTGAGGACTCAGTCTCTATTAAAACACTTTTACTATTAGCAGTAGTGATTGGAATTGTGATGATGACTAGATTTCAATAAATTAGAGCTTAAAATTGGGGAGATGGGAGGGAAGTGGCTTCTTTTAATTTCCCTGAGTTTAACATCAATAATTAGAGCAATTTTCGGAGATGTGAGCTGAAATTACCCCTGCTATGTTGTGGATGATCACCCTAATTTTAGCAAATTGACTCCAGGGATATGAATGTGACAGATTTGAAAAAGACAAACAGAAAAAAAGCAAAAGATGGGAGGGATGGAAATGAAAGGAAAGAGGCTGGGAAAAGGAATGGGAAACAAAAACCTAGTACAATTATTTTTGGGGGGTTAGGGATGAAAAAAGTAACAGCAGAAATAGCAAACTGTGTGAGTGAAATGAGGAGAAAGTAAAGAAAATTGGAGGGGACATGGAAGATGGCTCTAAGAGATGGCTCTGGACATATTTACACAGACCAAATAACTTGACTAATGTAGACATAACCCTCCTCCTGCCCACTGCCTATGACTGAGGCAAAGACTGTTTTGATGACCATCATCATTTTCTTTCTTTACTTTAATAATCCAGTTATCCCTCAGCCATAAACTTAAGTAGAACTTAGCAATTTGAAGTATCAGATGTCCTTTCTCCTCACTTCCTCCCTTCTCCTTTTGCCACCAAAATTATGGAAACTGTTAACACCCAGGCCGAAATGCCTAAATAAGTGCTTTATTCCTATTGCTTAGGGGCCTTTTTAGTGCCTTCTCTGTAAAGAGGAGTTTGCCGGACCACAGAGACTTTTTCCTTTTAGTTTTCATTTTAAAAAACGACTGGGAACAAAGCAGCCCCTGCAGTGACGGGGCAGAAATTGAGGTCGAGAAACATGGTAAGAACAAGAACCCTGCGGGCTCTGTTGTTCCCAGGCTTGGCCGGTGGTATTCAGCACCGCGGACAGCTCCCCGCCCCGCCCCGAGCCCCCCGCACCCTCCCCTCTGCCTCTGGCAGTCTCGCCATTGGCTCTCCCGGCTCCCGGCTTCCCTCTCCAAGCTGCCAATTTTCCAATCCAGAGACCCAACCTACCCAGGAGCTTGTCTTCTTACCTCTCCAGCGCCTGGGGTAGCCAAGGCCCGGGAGAGAGAGTAGCGAAGATTCAAGCCTCTAAGGGTGGTTGCCGACTTTCGAGCAGGCTTGCAGCGACGCTGCCTGCGTCCTCCACTTCATCCCGGCCCTTGCCCTGTGGCAGGTGCTCCGCTCAAGATGAATCTCAACTTCACCTCTCCTCTACACCCGGCGTCTTCTCAGAGGCCCACATCCTTCTTCATTGAGGACATCCTGCTGCACAAGCCCAAGCCGCTGAGGGAGGTGGCCCCAGACCATTTCGCCAGCTCTCTGGCCTCTCGGGTGCCTCTGCTAGACTATGGCTACCCCCTGATGCCCACGCCCACCCTCTTGGCTCCTCACGCCCATCACCCTCTGCATAAGGGAGACCACCACCACCCTTATTTCCTCACCACTTCGGGTAAGTAACAGAGGCCTCAAGGTATGGGCAGTGAGAGAGCAGCCCTTCTAGCACAGACCCTAAGCCTGTGACAGAGCCATGGAAAGGCCAGACTGGCTCTGCCTAGCTTGGTGGCCTCCTTGTCTAAGTGACAGTGGAAGGCTGGGGATATGGCTGACGGCCTGCGAAGCTCCCTAGAGGCATGCCAACCCACGGGGTTGATTCGTGATCCCTCCACATTCTTTATAGCGGAGGATGTGTGCCTGGTCAAAAGGCAGCCTTTCGGGCATGACAGTACTCTTTGGTGGGCAGTGCTCGGTCTCCCTGCTCGTGATCTTCCTGGCCACTTTGGTCTATCTCTCAATCCTGATTCTCTGCCTTTCCCCTCTCAGAGGGAGACCCTCGACCATCCCATCCCATGGACACAACTTTTCCTGCACAGAAGCTTGAAGAACTCTGGCCAGGCCAGCTCTCTTTTTCAGACAGTGAGCATTTTGCCGATACTGCTGGGAGCATAAAAGTGAATGAAGGTTTGGGATTCTCTGAGAACGAAAGGTTTGGGCTAGCCTGGATTAGAAAGGGTGAGGGGAAAAAAGGGGGTAGAGAAATACAGCTCTTTAACTCTCCTCACCCTCAACATCTAACATTTAACTCACAATCTTAGTCTGGGATGCCCTCCTCTGCCCCAGCTGCCAGCATTGCTGGAGCCGGGTGCCAAAGTATTTTGATTTCTCTGGCCTGGCAAATAGCAGGGACTTTCAAAGTCTGTTTGGGACAGGAGGATGTGGCGGAAATGCCCAGATTTTTTTCTGTCTCCCTCGGAAAGGTCACATCCATGGTTTTTTCTCTGGCGTTTTCAATCCAGCCAAAATAGAATAATTCAGTGAATCCAGATTCATGCCTCCGAGGTGGAAGCATCCATGGTCAGTGCCGGGGCTGGAGGTAAGACAGGAGGCAGTTTGTGGGCGCTGGAATCCAGAACAAAGCCGAAAGTGTTTGTAAGGTGGTAAAACCCAGACTCCGGGGCACTCGGGTGGAGAGGCTGTGTTAAAGCCTGCTTCCACGTCCGCATCTGTGCACTGGCTTCACTACCTGCCGGTGACAGTCTATTCTCGGCTGCGCTGGTGGTCCACCGATACGGCAGTGGCCAAAGCCCGCGGTACCAGCACTACTTGTTGTTATGTTTGTTTATTTTCCCTGGGATTGGCCGATGTCGCTTGTGGCAGCTTCTGTCTGCTTAGTGCGTCTTAGAGTCAAACCTGCGAAGGTCAGGAAAGACAAGTTCCCCGGACCCGGCCAGGGAAAAGCGCCTCAACTCTTCTGCTTCGATGGGCTTGGAGTCAGAGGGAAAGAATGAGAAAAAGAATGAGGACCAGATTAGATAGAGAGGTACCCAGCCCGGCCCGAAACAGACGAGGAGATGTGAGGTGGAAAATGTTCCTCCGCTCCCGTCTGGGGCTTCTCTGGATAAGGCAGTTTTGCTCGGCTCCCTTTGGCTGCAGGCATCTGGGGGTGGCTTGGGAAACAGAAAGGTGTTTTTCACTGAGGTTTGGAGGCAAGATTATTCCACGCATCTACTAGCCCCAGAACAGCACTGAGTGTCATCAGGCGTCTGGGAGGATATGGTGGGGGCTGGGGACGGGACTGCTCCTGGGCCATTTGACATTTGCAAAAAAAACTTCGCCAGGCGAAACTGAAGACTCCGAGTCTACGGAAGTCTCTCCAAGAAGACATTTTTAAACGGCATCCAGATCTATCTTCCGATTTTCTTTTCTGTTTTATTTACTGTTTGTTGTTTGTATTTCTAGATGGCTTTCCAGATAAAGATCTCCAAGCGCTATTCTTGAAGCTTTTTTCTTTCTTTCTTTTTCTTTTTTGCTCCCTCTGCCCTGGATTTCTGAGAGAAAGGCTTGAGGGGCTTTGGGGCGAGCAGGAGACTGGCGGAGGCAAGCGGCAGAGGGAGGCACTGGGGACTAGAGGAGGGGTGGGGAGCCAGCGGAAGTTGCTCTCCGGCGACCCCGGCTCTGCCCACTTGGTTGCTCTTCTCTCTGCAGGGATGCCCGTCCCAGCGCTGTTCCCGCACCCCCAGCACGCGGAGCTGCCGGGGAAGCATTGCCGCCGCCGCAAAGCCCGCACGGTTTTCTCTGACTCGCAGCTCTCGGGCTTGGAGAAGAGATTCGAGATCCAGCGCTACCTGTCCACGCCAGAGCGAGTGGAGCTGGCCACGGCCCTCAGCCTGTCCGAGACGCAGGTGGGCGGGAGGAGAGGGAGGCCCTGATCTCTGCTTCGTTTATCTCTCCCTTCAACTTTTAATACCTTCGGGACACTGTGGAGTTCGAGTAGGAATGAACCCCGCTGCCGCTTATTCTAGGCTTTCCCAAGAGCCTTCTTAAAAGTACTGATACCCGATCAGGCACGGTGGTTCATGCCTGTAATCCCAGCACTTTGGGAGGCCGAGGCGGGCGGATCACGAGGTCAGGAGTTCAAGACCAGCCTGGCCAATATAGTGAAACGCCGTCTCTACTAAACATACAAAAATTAGCCGGGTTTGGTGGTGGGCGCCCGTAGTCCCAGCTACTCTGGAGGCTGAGGCAGGAGAATCGCTTGAACCGGGGAGGTGGAGGTTGCAGTGAGCCGAGATCACTTTATTGCACCCCAGTCTGGGTGAGAGTGAGACTCCGTCTCAAAACAACAGCAACAACAAAAACTCAAAACCTCACGTCATACTTACCCAAGCAAAATTTCTCGAGAGGGACTCTGGAGAGGAAGGAAACACTCCTCAGGTGACTCTGATGATCACCTCCGAGTTAAGAACTCCCATTCCTATGCCTTCCTCACTCCTCTCCGGCCAGGCGTGGAACCCCGGGTCGGAGGTAAATGGTAAGAGTTTAGGCGAGTTCTTGTCCTGAGAGAAATCCACACAGGGAAATTCTTTCCCCCTTCTTATTTCAATCTCTTTCACACCGGCCAATGTTCACATGCACCTCCGCTCCAACCCCAACACACACACTATGGTTTAAGCTCTCTCCCTGTTACCCTGTCCCGACTAGAAGAACGGTTTTATCTTCCTGCAACCTCGAAACTCCGTCATCTCCTCCCCATCTCTCATAGTCTCTACCTGGAACGCGTCTTGCTGTGAAATCATTAGCTCTGCCAAGCCCGGGTCTGATTTTCTCTCTGATGAGAACCAGGAGGTTCAATTCTCATCTTCCCCCGCAGGATTCTTGCTGATCAGGTGGTTAGATGTCTCAAATCAGAGGAACATCAGCTGAGCGTAAAAAGACTTGCCCACGCAGCACTTAAACTACTAGTAGTTTTAATTAATAACAACATGCATAACTGCTAACCACCCATGTTAATCCTTATCATTATTTTTGGACAGTCACTCCTAAAAGCTTTAGGCTATTTAATTCTCATTCGGCCTAAGGCGATATGAGCAGTTGAGGCTATCACCGCTCTTGGATACTTCATTGATAGACTGCAATCCATTTTCCTAAATCCCAGCAATCGCTTAGATTTGGAGGAATGACGTGATTTTATTTTTATCTCTCCGAAATCAGGTGAAAACGTGGTTTCAGAACCGGCGGATGAAGCATAAAAAGCAACTGCGGAAAAGCCAAGACGAACCCAAAGCACCAGACGGGCCAGAAAGCCCCGAGGGTAGTTCCCGCGGCTCAGAGGTCGCCGCCGCCGAAGCTCGGCTGAGCCTGCCCGCCGGCCCCTTCGTGCTGACCGAGCCAGAGGACGAGGTGGACATTGGAGACGAGGGGGAGCTGGGCTCAGGGCCGCACGTGCTCTGAGCCGCCAGGCTGGAGAGGGTAGTAGGCAGGGGAGGAGACTGCCCGGCAGAGCGCGGTTCCCTCCCGGACCGGAAGACTCAGACTCACTCTCGGCGAGCCTCGGAGATCCGTTCCTGGAAGACGAACAAACCCACCTGTCCTCCAGGCCGGTGCGGAGCCAGCGCGGCCCGCGGCCGGGCCTCCCGGCTTCCCTCTGGCCCTCCCGTCTCAGCCGTGCTCATTTTCCTGCGTCCGCCGTCCTTGGCGTCGGGGACCAGCCCAGTACCGCGTCCCAGACTGGAAAGTGGGCTCTCGGCTGTTTTCTCCGATCATAGACCCCTTTCTCCCTCGCCTCTCAGCCACTTGCCCCTAGCTCTGTTCTTTCCTCTCCACACCAACTCCTTGCCCTTTCTTGGGCAGTCCGTTTGGCTGCAAAGGGACCAGGTCTCTGGGGCCTCCGCTCCGCCGGAATCCAGATAGATCCACAATCTGATCTTTAAAACGTCCAGTGTCAGGACAGACTATTGCGCTGCTTGTCACTAACCTCCCACTCGCCTCCATCCCCCATCCGCCAAGCCCCATCTCTGACTCAAATACTAAGGCGCTCCCTCCTTCTCTGGGCGGCGACTCCAGCCTTTCTTGTCCCTGTTCTCCCCAGGAGCTCGCCGTTCTGCATCCTGACACCCTCTCTGAGCTTGTGGCCCCCAGACGCAGATGCCCCTTACGCCCTCCCTCCCGTGTACTGCGCGACGCCAGCGCGCGGGGGGAGGGAAACTTGGGCACAGAAAACCCCGGGAGTAATTTCTGCTTCCCGAACTTGTTGCGCTCCTGTCGGGCAATGTTTCCATGTTCCACGGGCTACTGATATTTTAAAAGTGAGTGTTTCTTGGATTTTGTGTGGAAATGCTCATTCTCAGTGCATTTTAGGAAATATGGCATTTTATCAAGATGAAGGCCAAAGGGGAATACGCTTAATAGCCTTACGATTAAGGCTAAAGGCTTTCCGGGCGTGCACCTGTTTGGGGATTAGATGGGACGGGTGTCTGATTGGCTTTGTGCTTTACCCCTCTGCTTTTCCCCTGGGAGGTCTCTTGTTCTTTTTCTGGGTTTGCAGTCTCTTAGATAATGAAAGGCTCGCCGGGCAAAACTGGGAATGATCACGCGTTTCAGGGAATGGTTTGTTACCACGTTCTACGGGCACGCCCTCTCCCCTCTGCCCTAGGCAGTTTCCTAGTCCCTGTAGAAATGAACTTGCGAATAACCTTTCATTAACAGATTCCCTCCTTCTCACTCCAATTTTTATGTTTCTAATCGTTTGGATAATAGTCTTGAGTTCTATCTACATGGAAAAGTGGTCTGGTATTTTGTGACTCTAAAATGCTGAAGGGACAGAGATGTATGTATTGATATTTGGAGTTTGAAACTTTACTACCGGATTGTGTGACAACCCTGCACACTCAGTACACATATCAAATATAGCAGCAGAGCCAGAGGCACTCTTACCTTCCGATTCTTTTGCTTTTTGTTGTGTCTTTAGGTAAGTGAGCCCAGGAAGGCTGGAAAAGAATGAGTAGGACTGGGTGGAATCCTGACCCTTGGGTTCTAATGATTAATAATAATTATATAAACCACAGTGGGTGTGAGCATGGGCTAATCCTTTTGTTTTCTTTTTTCTCCCATATGGGGGTGAATCCTAAAGATCATTTTAGGTCTAAATTCTATACTTCCGTGAATGTAGCAGGAGGCCTTTTCATTTTTCTGCAATAGGCTTGTTGGGGAAACATCCCAGGTAAAGATAAGTATCAGAGTGACAGCTTATCCAAGTGCATCACTTAGGAGGCAAAATTATTGCTTTTAAAACATAAGCATTGTATATAGCCTTATGGATTTTCCAAAGTGCTCTGTAATCAATCAGTGATCTTGTGAGTCACAGATGACATGGGTATTTTTCCCCTTCATAGATGAGGAAATTGAGACTTAGCAAGATTGAAGGATTTGCTCATGAAATCAGGACTAGGTAACAGCCAAGGAAGGATAAAAAATGTCTTCTCTGACTCCTTGTTCACTTATTTTCTCATGGAGTTTATTTATTTATTTTTCTTGGTAACAATTAATGCATTGATTGGCATTTTGTCTCTTTCACTTTATAAGAACACCTCTCTCATTTCTTTAGATTACACAAACTAAAGATTGTGACTATTAAAAACAAATCTATGCTCAGATTTCTCTCCACTTCCCTTGTTCAGATAATGACAATACTGTTTTAAGACAGAAGATCTTGGCAAATGCTTTGCAGTAAGACCAAAGAGTTGGTGGAAAAAAAAGTGATTTGTGACTGAGAATGCTCCAAGTAACTTGGAAGGGAAATTGTGTATCCCTTGTGTATAGGGATACTATTACACAAGATTATGGAGCCAAGGGAAAAATCGAATTCTTCTAATCCCAGGAAGAACAACTACTAAACAGGAGTTTGAAAGAATCTAAAGTGAGTAGAAAAACTGTATTTGGGTGAGAGAGAGAGAGAGAGAGAGTGAGTGTGTGTGTGTGTGTGTGTGTGTGTGTGTGTTTAAATTAGATGGTGAACCCAAACTCAAAAGCACTAGATATTTGTCTTTTGCTTTCAAAACATCTTGTCAAGGGCTTATTCTGAGTATAACAGAAGTGGATTGGGTGTATTTCATAACCTTTTTATCTTAGAAAAGCAGGTAAATAGGAAAGCTGTTAGTATATGCACAGCTCTGCCTGATTGGAGGCAGGATGAGTCCTGGAGCTCAGGGATTAGTTAGGAAGATACTCATTCCTCCTTACCCTGGTCCTCCCCTGTGGTGGTTTCTTGGTGGATTAGTTAGCAAGGGAAGAGGTGAGCACTGTGGCGCCAGCCACACCAACTATGGAACAGTTTTCTCATCAAAAAAAATTCCCTGAAATTGATGGCGAACAATCCAATAGCAAAGTTCTCCTAGTTTTATTTATTTTTTATTTTTATACAGTGAGTTAGTGATAGTGGTAGAGGATAGACACAATTTAGCCTCAATTTAATGTAACGTGGCGGCACTTTTTGGTTTTGGCTTTCAATATGGATCAAAGCTTCTGTGAGCTGAAAAAGTATTTTGTCTGAATAACCCAGGCTTTTGCCTCAACTCAGTTTCACTGGTGGTAAGTATCTGGTGAAATTATGTTTATTACAATGTACTAAAGGAAGACATTCAGAGGTCTAATTTTGAAGCAAAAACATCACAAAATACCCAAGGTGGGGAAGTCATTTTAGATCTAATCTTACGTCATAAATAATTTGTTCCGTATTTGTTGGAATGCACTATTTATGATGAACTTTATTCATAGATTCTCAGAGAGGGATTCCTGATAATATTTCTGCTCACATGATGTGAAAACATAAGAAATGGACAACATAGCATGCAGCCCAGTTTTAGCTGATGGTAGCACTAAGAAATGCTGAACTGCAGTCCATGACACCGCTTCAAAAGATAGAGGGCTGGCTTTCATCGATGTATTTGATAATTAGATAGAGAGAGATGTGAAGGCACAGTGCAAACAGAATGCTTTCTGGTGCTAAGAGAATTGTGCATTAAACATATTTAGTTGAAGCAGTGACTCCCTGGTCTTCCTGAATTGGGTTCAATATATGTGAAACATAACAGGTTAATTGACATATTTTATATATTTTTGGCATCACGTTTTAAAGAGAATATTGACAAGCTAAAACTCTCCCAGTACACAGGAACCTGGATAGTAAAGGGTGTGGAAAACAACAAATAAGTAAGTGTGAGCTTTTTAGCTTAGAGGAGCAAAGCTTTGGGGGAAAAGTGGGGAAGGAGCTTCAGCTGTGATAGTTGTATTTGAATGGTTATGGAGCTATTAAGCATGAAGAGGTATATCTATTCTGCCATGCTAATAGATGATAGAACCAGAATCAGTGGGTGGTTCCAGGAAAGCAGATTCTGGAACAATATTTGAGGACAGGCACTGTGCTGTACATCAATAGAACAGGACCAGTCCACAAAACACTAAGTATCTTTTCACTAGAAATTCCAAAGGCTGGAAGACAAAACATAAGGTATTCTCTATTATGGATTTCTCCATTAGTGGGAGATTGGGCTAGATATCCTGTACGGCTCTTTCTGTTAAGATCCTAATCTTTTTTCTCAAAGTTATTAATTTTTTTTAAGCTCAAAAAGATTTCAGTTTATATGCTTTAACTTAAACACATATATCCACAGCAATTAGAAGTTTTAAGGGAAACAACAGAGAGGAAAAGGATATTTATTAAAGAATTTTCAACATCTCATTTAAGGAAGTCGGTGAGAACAAAGTGATGATCCACTAAGTCAAGGACAAAGATACAGTCAGGAAGAAACTGTCAGCATTAAAAGAGACATTTGACAAATGTCTTCATTTTATAAATTGTAGAAATTAAGGCCCAGATATAGTGGTGAAATAGACACATAGACAGTGGTGAAATTAAGACTAGAAGCCAACATTAATTATTATACCTTACAGTTACTCATGTTGTGATAAAAGTGATTGTGGGGCTATTGCCATTGTAGCATGTGGAGAAGATTTTCATAGCAATTTTATATATAAATTTTTAACACTGTAGCTAGAAATTATCTAGTAAACTCTTAGATCAACTTTCGGAAAACCTTCTGATTAACAGCCATCTGAAAGTTGAATGAGCTTTCCTGAAGGAACTAAATCCCTTAGCCCTATTTTATTTAAGCCCTATTTAGAAATATTCCCATAACCAATAGGATGAGCTAGATGATCTCTTAGCTATCTTAAATTTCTACATTTCCCTACTACAAAAATTTTGACCGGATCTCTTTTAGTTAGAGATGAGGCAACTGACAGAGACATTGACTTGTCTGAAATCATACAGCCTGTTAGGCAAGTTACGGAATTAATGCATCTAACGGTCAGAGATAATTGCAATCCTATTTAGGAGTGAGATGAAAATTCAAAATGGTTCTTGTGTTTTCTTTCTTATTGTATTTTCTGGCTGTAACCCCCCTCCCAACAAGACATTTCTTTTCCGTTTTATTTATGCCTGTTCTCTCAGAATTCCCAGTGTGTACCCTGATAACATTTCCTCCATGATTTCATTTATAAGAATTCCACG